AGGCGAAGCCCCAGAATCCTTGCCTCCAAGGAGCAGCCTGGTTTAACCCTCTCTAGGATGAATCTATTTGTTTTCTTGGCAGTCCATGGTACATTACACTCAGGAAAAGGATATTGTCAGATTCTTTGCACTTTACTGAAGCAACTAATTAAAAGATTGAAATACCCCAACTTCCTGCCAGGACAAGCCTACTCTCAGCTGGCTTGGAAGAATGGACTTAAGCTTATGGACTCTTTACTTCCCATTTTCCAAAAGACTGATCACTTAAAGATACTTAAAAGGGGTAGGGGGATGTTTGCAAGCCTACATAAAAATCACTTTCTAATTTCCCCCATTAATCTGGAGAAATTGACTAAGAATTCCCCCCTCCAAAATATGAATATCCATCATCAGAGAATATGGTAACATAAATGTCATACATAAATTCACATAGAATGGGGGGGGGAAGAGCTTATAATGAGCTAGGGTTCTAAAATATGTTTCAGAATGATATTTTCTTTTTCATAAGCTTTTAAAATACTTTGTACGAAGTTAACGGATTTTAAAAATCGATTCGTATTTTAAATAATTTCAAGCAGATGACCTTCTGTAAGGCAAATCCCAACACTAATCCATGATTCATTATCTAAACTTTAATTGGCACATCTCTTGAAATTCTGAGACCATATGGAAAATAATGAGTCCTAATAGGTCTAAGGTGAAAAGATGGCAAGGGAGTAAGAAGCCAGAGAGCCATCAATTCTGAATGCATAGCAACTGCAACATAATTCCCCAGAGATCTAGAACAGTGCGTTCTCAAGGTTTTACTGGTCTTGCACTCTTATAACTAAGCTGCATATTAACTTTCATTCTGTAAGACAAAGATTAAAATGAAAGAAACAAAAACAAACCAAAATGGTTTTCACAATTAAAAAGGAAATTGGCTGACTGTTAATAAAAAGGCAGCAATTTAGAGTTACCATAACAACCTGATGCAACTGTTGATTGACATGGCAATCTGCTACATTTTTATAAATAGCTGTAGGTTCCCCACCCCCTTCACTTCAACTGGTATGAGTGCTCCTTTGGAGCAAATGGAACAATTGTGCTTCAAAGCGATATCATTGATCAAACAGTGTACCTCTTCGCTGCTGTCTTCACTGCAAAACTCCTCCTCCAACTGGCCACCTCTCTGTGTCCCACAGCCATCCTCTTTTATATTTGAAAGAAATGGGCACTCCTCTGGGGACAGACTCGGAGTCTTGCCATGAGGTGCTGACCGTGGTCTGGATGAAAATGTAAAAATGCCCTCTGGAGCAAGCTGGCTTTCCTCTGCTTGAGGGTGATGCTCACTTTCCCTGCTGATTTCAGGCCACAGGGACGAAGCACTGCCTGAGTCATCATCCGGAAGTGAAGAGTGTCTGCTAGAGTCCAAATGGGGAATGTGCTCATAATTTTCAGGAAATATCCACTCATCTGACATTTGGAAAAGAGAATGCAAATTAGCATTCCACAGAAGTGTTATTATGTAGGCAGGAGCTTAGGTTAACATTTCTTGGCAAAACAGAGATTTATCAAGTAAGGCAAAAGCCAAGGAAGGCTATTCATCTACCATCTTGTAACATGCTAAACATTTAACTCATAGATCAGTGACTATAGCTACTGTGGCTACGTGATAGGGATTCATTTGCACTTCCTTTCCATCTGAGGAGAAACACTTGCCAGAAATATGTAAGACTGAAATAATTATCACCTGTCTTATTGCAAGTTCTGTATAGCAGAGTCTCATTAATTTAGACATTCCAGAGGGGAAAAGTCTTCCAAATTTAAAAAGGTTTGCATTACGACTATCTCTTCTTAACTGCAGATGGGCAAGGTACGTAACAATTTTCATCAAATAAAACAACTGATCATTATTTGGATTGTAAATCATAAAATGATTGATAGCCTTTCCCCCCCCTCCAGTTCTATTGACTGAAAGAGACTAATCTGTGGTACAAAACAGACTTTTCAAATAAATCAACAGTAATATCTGTTAATCTGACTAGAGAATTCAATAGACACATATTTAACTAAAAAGATCTCTGTGCTTAATTTTTTGTCAGCACTAACCCGTAGCTGACTCTCCAGTGGGTTTTCAGAGGCAGTAAAGCACCTACCATCTGAACTTCCAAGCCTTTGGGTTGGCAGTGCAACTCCTTACCACCACCACAGTTCCTCCCTAAACCATCAAGTTCCCCTAATTTTAATATCTAATTTTACAAAAGATTATTTTGACATAAATTTTAAAATATTATTTGTTTTCTTAAAACATTTCATATACTTGCACATTACTCTTGGGATAGAGTGTTATTACAAAATTTAAAAATACTCTTCAATATAAAACAAAGAGACTTTTTAAGTTTGTAGTCTAGGCAACTAGAAAAGAATACTTTTTAAATATTAAAGTCATGCTTATATTTCTTACTTCAAATGACAAGAGAAAAAGCTTGATCACTTTCTTAATTTCATTTATTTTCTTTTTTTTCAATTTTGTGCATCTGCTTTTGCTTTATTATTTGTTCAATTTTAGTTTCTGTTTTTTTTAAAATTCATTTTTATGAAAGTTTACAAAGACTTTGGATTCCCATTCATTCATTGTTGCACACTTTCCTCTCTGTCCACCCCTCACCCCCAGTTAGCTTTTCTCTTTGAAAGGTAAAAAAAAAACCCCAAAACTTTCATTGTTATACAATCCCCCCACCCCCCACCCAATCCACTCCACTATACAGCTTTCATTATAGACTCTTGTCATGACAATAATACCTAATCATATATTCCTCCTAAACAGTTTCCTCATCTGTTTTAATGCCATATACATTATTTATCCTTTCTTTTCTTAGCTTCCCCCCAACCTCAATGTTTGTTTTGCTTTACAGCCATGGCCTTATGCAGTCCTTTTGTGACTGAGACATTTCACTCAGCATAACATATTCCAGGGTCACAATTTTGTATAACAATTCATGAGTTCCTGGTTTTTCAAGGCAGCATAGTATTCCACTGTGTGAATACACCACAGCTTCTCTATCCATTCATTTGTTGTTGGGCACTTGAGTTGTTTTCAATTCTTTGCTATTGTGAATAAAGCTGCAATAAACATGGGTGAGCATATATATCTGCTTGGGTGGCAGTTATGGTTTCTTTAGGGTAAATTCCCAGTAGTGGAACTGCTGGGTCAAGTGGTATTTCTATTTCCAACTTTTTCAGAAAGGATCACAGTGCCTTCCAAAGTGGATGTACCATTTCATACTCCCACCAACAGTGAATAAGGATTCCAGGTTTTCTGCAAACTCACCAGCATTTGTTCACTGTTCTGTTAAATTTTGCTATTCTTACTGGGGTGAGATGATACCTCATAGTTATACTGATTTGCATCTCTCTTAGAGCTAGGGATTTTGAACATTTCTTCACGTGTTAGTTTTCCCTCTGAATGTCTTTTTTGGTGAAGTGTCTGTTACTATCATGGGCTCATTTTTCAATTGCGTTGTTTACATTTATCTTCTTGTGGTGCTTGAGTATTTTATAAATTCTAGATATAAGTCCCTTATGTGATAAATCATTACCAAAT